ATGCTGCGTTGTACGCGACTCGACGCGGAGGGGTCCGTCATAGGCCGATTATAATGGCTCCGGAATGATATCGATGCGGACAAACACAAAAGGGCAGATTAGTAGGTTAAGGCGAATATACGGGAGTGGCATGTAGATTAATCATTGATTGTCTCTACCCTTAGACATAAGCAGGAACGTCTGATCAAAAAAATCTCCGGACATCTGTAGGGCACTGCCATAAATCAAGTTTGCGCGCCGTACGGATACCAATCATAATTAAGGTAACGTGCTCGCTCCAATAAGAGTTGACTTGACGAGGAAGATGCTCCACCAGATCGCTGGATGAGCAAGGACAAACTGCCCTGTGTATTCGCAAACGTCTGAGGATGTCACGAGGGCTAGTAAATAGTCTAGACTGGAACTACTGACCCCGGTCGAAGGTGATAGTTGAGAAAACACCGCACTGGCATTTCCAGTGGTCCACACACAGACAGGCGGCAATATCTGCAGGTATGCTTGGCAGAGGCGTTGGGATTGGTCATTGGGTAAAACGGTCAGTGACAGTGAGCAGCTGACAAGTCATGGGGCCACGGATTAAGGAGCCTCTGGCTCAATGGTTTACTAATGCCAGATGTCCAAAAGACGCAGATTCGTGGCTGAAATCCTGCGAGCCTGGGATTGTGTAGGGCGGATGCTAATGGCGACTTTGATGTGCCATCCGATTCTGGCCTTCTAGCAGGCCTCTTTAAGCGCGATACTTGAAACCTTGAGGTTTTCCAAATCAGAAGTCAGAAAAGACAGTTACACGGACAAATTATACTATGGCGATGTAGTATGCCCGCAGGTCAACAGGCAGTGCTGGTCAGGGTCCGAGGTAAGTTAGTGTAAGTCTTAGCGCATGTCCCGTAGCTCGTCCAGCAGCGACCAATCGGCAGTGAGGGGAATATCGATCGGCCACAGAATCTCGCGACTCGCCTAGAAGCTTAACAAAGCGCCACTCCACTGCCATGGTCTGGGGTGCTTAGCTCTTTGTTTCCAACAGAATCTGTCGTGTTGCATGGGGCATAAGTCTAAAAGGGGGCTACTCTGTCCTGGCAGATTTCTGCTTTCCTCTCTAGTCTCGTGTTCTCGGATTCTGCAACCGCGATTATGTCCAGTGGTTCGCCACCGATTTGGCGCAAGACAGCACAGTAGTGCTTCTCGATTGAACTCTCAGTGCACACAATGAAGGCGAAATAGGATAGTCGAATCTATGGAATTGCCGCATTCAACTCACTTTACACTCCAGGCGACTACAACAACATTTCCTATAATGTTAGGGCCGTCTGCGCGGAACGCGTTACGACAGCAAACAATCAGTCATGCCGGACACTTAAACGATATTGAGTATTATTCGTATGTGCTTGCTGGGAAGCCTATGATCTCTAAGTGAACTCAACAATCTACCCACATAGGTTTTACATAACCTACATATAGACTGGAGTTTCTGAAATTTTTTCTGTCAATTTCGACAGAATCGCAACCTCTCCATCAACTCCAAGATGGATGCACCAGAGGACTGCAGAGATTGCTCATGAAAATCCTGGCTTGAGGACTGGGTGTTCAGTGGGAAGACCCAGCTATACATTCTGGGATTAGCCGACAGGGCGGAGACTGTTTGACTTGGACCATCCGACTCAGGTGCGTCGCGGCGGAGTAGGTAATGGGCACACACCAAACACTACGACCTCCATGTCCCGAATAGAAGCGTAATTTGGACAACAGTAGATTGAAAATTGTCATCCATACAGAATAACTGGAGAATAGGTGGGGGGAGTTTGCAGCCGGACGATGACACACGATTAGGTTAACAGTGACGCAGGTGTCAAGACTCATTGGTCGAGAGCATGTCCAAGTCGACCTTGAAGATGACTGGTCGGCTTGTGTAGCAGTGATTGGTCAACGACCAGACTGCGACTGACACGCACGTGCAAGTATGCGCGAGAGCAGCAGCGCGCTGGAGCTGGAGTTGGATCCCCACACCCCCTGTATGTTAGATTACATAACCTGTCAAGACAGTAAAAGGACACGCTGTAACCGCACACAAGTCGGCAGACGTGAGTGGCAGAGTCTGCAGTACGAGGAGTCTGCTGTCGCTTCACTGACTGTGCTGAACTGACTCCCACGACAGCTTCACCTCGTAGGGTGTTGTCTCCAGTGAGGCATGTCTAAGACGATGGCAGGTCAGTGATGCAGAGAATAGCTCTGTGAAAGGCATAAACCAACCTCCTCAACTGCCAGATGATCAGAATTCCTGGAAAGCCCGCAAGACTGAAAATCTCGAGAGTTATTTCAGGAAAAATGCTTATAGGTTAATGCACTCTATAAGTTGTCGTGTATGCTTTTTAATCAATACTTCAGTTAGAAACCTACGAGTGACCAATTATTAATTCAAGGTAGATTATAGGACTTTTGAATGACGTAAGCAGGGCGGTGTTTGGCTAGTTTTGCGGCAAGATACTTCAGCACTTGGACAACAATTCTTATCGTGCATTCTCTGTGCCAAAAAGCTACGTCCTCAGAAAACATGAAAAAACCCCCTGCAAAAATTGCAATACGAATGAAAACGTTTGATCCATTTGACTATTTGTTGACATGGGACACGGGCATATGTAGTCCACAGGAACCTAGCGCTAGGCCCCTACAGCTCGGGAGTCCGCATGTCCTCTGTCGAGGCCTGCCGTCTTACATTTGGCAAGAGTGAGATTCAGTAAATTATTGGAGGATGAAGACTGTGAGGGTTAGAGTTGGGATAAATATGGTCTTGGTTAGGGTTAATGTTGGGACGTGAGAATAGGCAGTCCACAGGAGTCTAACGCAAGACCACCTGCAATATTGGAGTCCGCATTCACCTGTCGAACCCAGTTATCCAGTATTTTATAATAGTGGAATTTAAAAAACAGATCGGGAATGAGGGCAGTCGGAGGTGGAAATCCAGTGTGTTAGATGCATGGAAGGACTATTGGGACTTAGGAACTATTGCGAAATGTCATTAATGACAAAGTCAAGGGAGACAGGAATGACCATTTCTGGCTCAGGAGTCGCCATCAGCTGACATTTAACTGGTAAGAAAATGTGCACACTAATCTAGCCGGTAGGTCGACAAGAATAGAAGCCAGTGAATATTGGACATTTAGAGTAAACTTAAAACGTCTCTTCTGCAAATCATTTGTAAAATCAAACTCGCCAAGGAAAGATAACTTTTTAACGCTACGCATCAGATAGGAAATTTTATTGCAATGAAATCCTTCTAAGAATAGGAGAAAAGCCCTGAATGCCCTGAATGCGCATGGATGGAAGAAGACCTGGTAGACATGGGAGTCTTGATGTGATAGACGGGCATTTCAGCTCCGAGAGGTTCAAACTATTGGCTCACTTCAGGCAAAAGCTTTACGCGATGACCAATCGCATTTCACTGTTGCTTGCTGCGCCTTTCCAGAGCATTGACGATGCCACTGTAGTAATTCCTCATCAATCACCACCGAGCGAGTTCGACAACTGGAACCTAGACTTTTATATACCTTTAGTTATCTCCTCGGAATTCCCCGCGTGCGCTCTTTCAACGAACGGCCTGATCTTTTCTACCACTAACGGAAACCCTACGTCGGAAACCCAAGTCGTTCTTTGGAGTGAGCATCTGATTCTTGTTATTCTCAGCATTCGTACCGCGCTCAAACCCGAAATTGGATGCTTCGCCGCTGAACTAGTTTATGACGCAGATCTCCGAGCCATTCCCTACACGCTCTCCAGCAAGTATGCCCAACTTGCTAACATTTTCTCGTGAGTTTAACTCAGGCTCTATGGACTCTAGAAGTCGCAATGTGAAGCTGAAATGCCTGTTTCCTCATTGGAATTAAAAGTGATCAGTCAGGACCAATTCCGTGCCACTGGCCTTCATTTTGAACGCACAATTACCAACTCAGTTAAGTGATACTGCCGAATGTTAAGAGTGGTCATTCTGTGAAACTAACTTGTGGAAGCGGAGCAGAGAAAGATTTCCGTCCACGACTCCTGTCAATACACGAAACGTGCCTCCCAGCTGAGGCCAATGAGTCGTACTCATCAGGCCGACTTCTCCACCAACACGCTGAGGAAGATGTTCTACCTCATGGAATGTCGGCCAAAATTCTGAAATGTGTCTCAGGTTAGAAAAGATTACTTAAGTACGGTTGTATGGCTAGCTGTCGCGCAGTACAATCACAATATAGAGTAGGTGGTCCAACTCATGAAACATCAACAGAAATTCTGAAATACGTTTTTGTTTCGAATAGATTAATTAAGTACAGTTGTAAATCTGGTCAGCAGGAAACATAATTCTATAATATTTCATTTACCTCAGCATGCCGGCCTTCGAATGAACTTCCACACTGTAAGAAATGACTACCTATGTAGCATGCATTTTTCTCATTTATTTTCTATGCCCCTTAAAGTCTGATTATATATTATAGAAAACATGCATAAAAATATACATTCTTTTGCTCATTCGGTAGACAATTGCGCCTTCTTCTGATTTTTACTCGAAGGGAGAGTATACTTTGGTTTCCAAAAACTCTTCCAATTCCCGAATAATTTTGAACCCGCTCTACCATTGCATTCAGGGTTTCCAAACTACAAGCCGTATAATTTCCGCGCACGGCAAACTGTACATTTCTCTACGGTAATAAAGGAAGATTATATAGTTTTCATAAAATTTATCGGTGGATTTGATCCGTATTGCCAATAGAAGCGAAGAGCCGAGTCCCAGGAAGTAGTCTTGAAGAAGGAGACACGATCGCCGGGACAAGAGCTTTATTAGCCTGTATGTCACAAAACATAACATAACAGGACAGACTACCTTCAAAAAAGCCAAAGGTTTACTGGAGGACCGACAGTTCTATGTCCCATGTGCAACGAACCCTTTAAAGGCGCTGACACGCGAAATTAATGCTACGTTGTTGGCCTTGGAGAACTCAGGTGTAACAACACCGACCGACAGACGCATGGCGAGACCCCAAGATACGGCTTTGGCCCGATTCTATGGCCTCCCTAAGGTGCACAAAGACGGCGCTCCTCTCCGACCCATCGTGTCGCTCAAAGGGACTCCAACGTACGGACTGGCTAAGTGGCTGTTCCGGCGTCTCAAGTTCCTGACCGCTGAGTCAGACACCACGGTCTCTTCGTCAGCACAATTCCTGGAGAAACTCAAAGGGGTAAGCATCCATCCAAATGAGGTCATGGTATATTTTGATGTTACATCCCTTTTTACTTCTATTCCCCAGGACCTGGCGATCGAGACAATTGAACTGCTACTACAAAGCAAATACGATGAAACGGAGAACCGTCTTGGACACGCCAAAATCCTTCAGCTCATGAAGCTCTGTCTCAGGACGTACTTCACGTTCGACGGGACTATCTACGAACAGGTGAAGGGCACACCAATGGGTTCGCCGATTTCGGGATTCATCGCCGAGGCGCTCCTGCAACGGTTAGAGTCGCTGGTCTTCCAACACCACAGACCGAAATTCTGGGCCCGGTATGTGGATGATACCTTCGTCGTCATCGAACGGGATCAGGTGTTGACATTCCAAGAACATCTCAACGCCGTCTTCCCGGACATTCAAGTTACGATGGAGGAGGAAGAGAACAACCAGCTGGCCTTCCTGGATGTCCTCGTATGCCGCAAGGATTGTGGTGGACTAAAGACCAAAGTGTTCAGGAAAGCGACAAATACGATGCAAGTACTGAACTTCAACAGTAACCACCCAATCAGCCACAAACGCAGTTGTGTAAGGACGCTCTATCGGCGTGTCGAAACGCACTGCAGTGAGCCGGAAGACAAAATTGCTGAACTACAATACCTCCGAAGGGTCTTCAAAGCCAATGGCTACCCGCGCAACTTCGTCGACCGGTGCATACGTAAAAGGGACGAAAGGCCTAACCGCACGGACACCAAGTCTTGGCGGGCACTTCCGTATGTCAAGAACGTTTCGGAAGCTGTCGGCCACCTTCTCGCACCACTTGGGGTTGGAGTGGCACACAGACCGGAGGCAACCATCAGGCATCTGATTATGAAACCGAAAGACCCACTGCCACGGCTAGAAACGTCTGGAGTCGTTTATCGGATCTGGTGCAGTTGCGGACAAAGCAACTACGTCGGAGAAACCGGAAGACAGCTCCGAACGAAATGGCCGAACACGCGGCAGCGGTGCGCAGAACTGACGCCAGCTCTCAAGTTGCGGCTCATTCGACGAGACCCGGCCACACATTTAAATTCGATGAGGCCGAAATTCTCGCAAGAGGTGACAACCGAGTGAGCCGAGAGCTACTGGAATCATGGTTTACTGGCCCCCAGTCCATCAACAAGTGCAACGATCTTCCCATTCAATACAGCGTGCTGAGACTTCGTCTAGGCGGAGTAATTGGCCACGCGGGGAGCGCACTGGTGAACACTCTTCCCAACACCCGGGTCAACGCATCAGATGGTCGAGCAATCATCACGCCAACATCCAACGCACGTGATGAAATTGCGGCAATTATCGACTCGAATGTCGGCCATCAAGCAATGATCACCCCAAGTGTGACAATCCCGGATGAAGGGGGAAGCCGTGAACGCTCATAGGCAGGCGGTAGCATGGCTGCTGCATCCTATAAATACCGCAGCCCCTTGTGCAACAACCACCCGTTTCTGCTCTTTTGTCTCTGATGATGGATTCGAGTAGGAATCCGAAACGTCAGGCTAATAAAGCTCTTGTCCCGGCGATCGTGTCTCCTTCTTGATCCGTATTGTTAAATTTACAAGCCGCATTGGTAAATGCAGATACACGACGATTTACGAAATGCCATTTCCCTGTATTTAAACGTCCAACAATTAGAAACTTTTCGAAAACCGAATTGTGATCCTTTCTTTGAGCATAGAGTTAGAAAAAAAACGTAATTTTCTACAGCATGAACGAAACAATAAATTTTTTTATGCATTTTTCTAAAAATATAATTGGAATTTTAGAGGCATAAATAATAAACGAGAAAAATTCATACTACGTGAATAGTCATTTTTTACGGAGTTGAGTTTTTTGCATGCAGCCGGAAGGAAGTTCACTTGAAAGCCGGCGCTTTGATGTAACTGAACTATTATAGGATTATGTTGCAGGCTGACCAGTTTCACAACGCTACTTGATCAGTCTTTTCGAAACGAAAACTCACTCCGGAATTTTGGTTGACATTTCGTCAGTTAGTCCGCCCACTGTATGTCCGGGCCTATGACAAAGCCGCTCTTTGGAGCGAGCACCTGATTCTGATTATTTTCAGCATCTGAAACGCGCTCAAACCCGACATGGTATTCTTCAACGCCAAAACTGTTAACAGCACAGAGAATTTTGGGCTTCTTGGAGCCTAACCGATTGTAACAAACAAGGGCTAATCTCCGAGCAGTTCTCTCCACGCATTGAAGCCAGTATACCTTAATTGCTAACCAGTTCTCGTGAGCTTAACCATTACTATATGGACGATAGGAGTCGCAACGTAAAGCCGGGGTGTCTGTTTCCTTATTGTAATTAATAGTAATCAGTCAAGACCACACCCGCGCCACATGCCTTCATTTTGAAAACACAACTACCATTCGGTGAAAATGGTTTGTTGAGGTGGAGCAGAGAAAGATTTCCGCCCACGGCACCTTTTAAAACGCGAAATGTGCCTTCCGGCTGTGGTAAAAGAATCGTAGGCCTCACGCCGACTTCTTCACCAACATGCTGAGGAAGATGCGCTATTTTATGAAATGTCGGCCAAAATTCTGGAATATGTCTCAGGTTAGAAAAGATTGTTTAATTTGTGTCGTGTGATTAACCGTCGCACAGCACAATTACAAAATATTTCAGTCACACAAGAATGCCGGATTTCGAACGGCCTCCTTTTCGACCACTTCCAAAAACTGCGTTATGCAATTATTGACTACTTCTGTAGTATGCATTTTTCCCTATTGACTTTTTTGCATTTTCTCATATCAGCAGTTAATGTCACCTTTAGTTCACACCGACGTTTCTTCTATGCCACTCCAGGGCGGACAAAATGTCCAAACGTCAGCCTGACAATCTGTGGATGGAGAAGTCATGGAAAACTTGTTCACTGGCATTAGAAACTTGAAATTTAAATAGGACTACCTACAATCGAGGGCATATCTAAGTCGGCCTTGAAGATGATTGGCCGGTTTGCATGACAGTGATTGGTCGAAAAACAGACTGCCACTGGCACGCACATGCGAGTACGCGTGGTGGCGCATTGTTAGTTTCTAACTTCAGCCTCATGTGTTTCACAACCGTATGTTCTGGACTCGTTGTTACCGCAAGGTCGCACCTCCCTCAAAGGCGGACCTACACCTTGGGAAACATTAGCAAAGATCGAAGAAGACAAAGCCTCGATACGGTCATTACGGAGTCTCCGCCCAAAGGGAGGCGCTGTTCTATGTGAGATGAGGGAAGTGTGTATGAGGATGTCATGGTGAATTTTATCAATGATAACCCAAGTCTACACCTCCGAGATATCTACTGTCTTGATAGCCGTACATTAAATTCACTGAGGGCGAAAAAACCTGAATGCAGCAATACTTCCCATAAAAATTTACTGGTTGATGGGAACACACCGTGTCTGCCAAATACTCTCATGAGCATTCGGCATACATCACTGCACCAATGTTTGTGCCGGAATTCTGATATGTTAAGTTCTTCCTCGACAAGAAAATCTGCACAAAATGAACTTATTTGTTCAATAGGTTGACTACATTTGGAAGGTTAGATTAGTATTCACTAGATTGATGCTTCTTGGGACGAATACCCAACAGAATAACGTCGACAATGCAGTTCCTACTTCGCAATTAGTGAGTATTCAGTGGTCCATTTTTCTGTGGTAACGCGGGTGCTTTTTGGCAAAAGACTGAATGTTAATGCTCTTCGACAAAAATCCGGATCCAAGGGGCTTTGGGATGATTTGCCAAAGCTTGCTTAAATGACAGCCAGTTGAGCTGGTCCTTCACACGGTGTCGCCTCTCCGAACGGCTAATGAAAAAGCACGTGGCACAACTCACGGCAACTCAGCCTATTATTGGCTAGCTTCACCTCTATATACAACAACAATTGCCAAAAAACAGTGAATCACGAGACCACCAATGAGATGCATTCATCGGCACTGGTCCTACTGGTTTGCCTGACAGCAGCTTCTGGCTGCAGTTCAAACGTCGGTAAGACGACTTGTGCGCCCAATCTCTCGCTCATTTTTCTGTTGACAGCTGATGTTTCTCTTGGTGCACACTGACGCTTGCTTCTTCCTTTCATGCCGCATCAGAGATGTGGAGGTGTCCGAAGACACATGGACGAGTGATAATTGAAGATATTGCGCAGAGTCTTGTCAGTGAGGCCAAGCACTTGTACTTCGAGGAAGTCTATGATGAGGCCAGTCGCACAGAATTTACGCTGAGTATCGTCAGGATGAAGGCAAGGCCTGATTGCGTCGTTCTTGGTAACCTGGCGTCCTACAGGGTGTTATTCTGTTCCATCCACACTCAAAGCGTTAACATCCTTCTGGCACGAAGGCACGTTTCATGGGTACATGCATGTGCATGTTAACCCGAGCACCAATTTGGGTTGTCTGGAATTTATTTCCTCATTTATCTGTATTTGAATATGTAACGCATGAGCTATGCATTGGTCGTCTTCCACAGACGCAATTAACTTGATCCTCTGGCATTTTAGGGAATTGGGATGGATGCGTGTTGGGCATCGATTGCCGCAGGACAGTATCAACTGCAGTCTTCCAGCGGCCACATTTGCGGCAGTGATACACGAGCCGTACTGGAGACTTCCTAGTTCCTCGCCACTTGTGGTAACACTCGCTAAACTGGGCATTCGGAATATCACCGCCAAGGTTGCCGAAGCCGCTTTGTTCAATATTGGCCCATGTCCAACACCATGGCAACTGGACGTTTTAAAGGACACTGAGAGACTTTACAGACAGGCGCTTCTCGGGAAGGGGGCAGTGCAATGTCAGATTGAGCAGGATGAGTAAAATCTCGCACGGAATTGATTCACTTTTATCTAAAGTAAATATATAATGCGCAACGACATGAATTTTGGACTTCTAATGACAGTTGGTGGCATGGTGGCAAGTGGTTTGGGGTGCTATGAAGCCGGCTTGAGACCCTTTTCGTACAGACGTTTTAAATGCTTCAAAGTGAGATGCGAAAATGAGAATCTTCTCCACGTAATGCAGTTGGCGGTGGGCTAAATTGCAGGGTTTCGGCGTCCTAATCCTTAACCCTAACTCCAACTCTAACCGTGATCCTGAGCTTCCTCGTATTTGATAAATACCGCCTCTGATATATGTTGGTTTATTACATCACCCTCATGTTTTTCACAACCGTATGTTCTGGACTCGTTGTTGTCGCCAGATCGTGCCTCCCTCGAAGGCAGGCCTACACCTTGGGCAGCATTTGCAAAGATCGAACAAGGTGAGATCGTGGCGAATAGGGTGGGCGTGACACCTGTAGGACTGCGTCAGCCAGTTGAGGCAATCGGAGCAGGCGTTGGTGTTGAGGTGGCTGTTGACTGTGGGCAGATAGCAGCGAGGCGACTAATATTAGCACTATGCCAACGTCTGAACAAATAAACGGTAAGATCGCAGTTGGTAACCAGACACTACACGTTGATACAGTCGACGTACGTACTTGTTATCAGTAGGTGTGCTTGCCTTGTTATTAGTAGGTGTGCTCTTACTGAGTTAGGCAGGTCGCCTGTTTCAGTCAGGTTGTTGGGTTTGGTGAGGGTTAAGGTTAGGCGTAAGTTAAGTTTCAGGATTAGGGTTTGCGCTTTAGGGTCAGATTTTAGTGTTAGGTTTAAGGTTAGTGTTACGGTTAAGGTGAAGGTCAAGTTTAGTGTTAGGGTTATGTCTAGCTTTTGGATTAGCGTTGGGTTTTAGGATTTCGGTTACGGTTCGGTTTTGAGGCTTATGGTTAGGCTTTACGGTCGCTCTTAGGGTTGAATTTTAGGATTAAGCGTAGAGTTTAAATTTCTGCCATTATTCCACCTACTTAAAACCTCCCAGCACTTTCCCTGTTAACTCTAATTTTACCCAGAATATCCAGCATTCCTCTTCCAGCCCTTCCATTTACCCCACCCATATGACCCCGTTTCCCGCCATTCTCGTAAGACAGTGACCTGGCTGTCCGCCTCCCGATTCCTGGCTACCAACTGCGATCTGACCTACGCCCAGTCAGTTCTAATCGCCACATTCGGGGCATCTGGCCAGCACTTTCAAACATTCTGCATGACAGAGGAGTGGACACATTACAGGATGGTAGGAGGTCAAAGTCTGCATTCAATCGATAACTGCGGTTTGGCATTTTCCCACAAGGAAACTGATGACTGCCGATGTATTCTAACGGACATGTAAGTATTGAGACCTGTAGGTAAATTGACGGGAATACTTGTTTTGCGTGAGCGGACATAGCGTCGCCATTCAGGAGGAAGTTGACTTTTAGAGAATAAGCAGGGCGTTTGCATGTATACACGTTTGCCTTCAGAGAGCAACATTTCGGAATTTCTAAACTCCGCAATGGTTTAGCTGGTCGGGTGACCTGTCTGGTCAGTGGGACTAAGGTCGTTTGTGGTTGTGCGCTGTGTGATATTTGGCCAATTAAAACAACTGTTGGCTGCAACCCTCGTGGCCATGCCTGATGGTCCTTTTAAAGGTCCCCTTGTCTCAAGGTCATTCGCTTTCGCAGCGAGCAAGGTGGGGATAGGATGTGCGAATCCACTGGGTTTAATATGTATCGTTAATTATGACACTTGTTTTACTACAGGAATGTACTCGAGATTCCTTTTGTTGCGACTACCTACGCCGTGACTTGTTTGCTTTTTCAAAAAGGTCAACGGCGTAGAGAAGGACCCCACTCAGCTGTCAGTAGATTGTGGATCGTGTCGTATTGGGTTTTTTCTTGACATACAGTTGCAACCTGTTGGAAAAATTACACTGACAACAACGATTACTTCACAGGACCTCACGCCTAAACTCAAAATCCGTTACTTTGTGAAGTTTGCATTTTGTTTATTGTTTCCTTACTAATCTCATCTTCGTTGTCGAACACTAGCGTAGGGAAAGACTGTCGACATGAATCCAGGCAGTTTCTGTGTTTTCCTGCATTTTGTCAACTTACTGTCTAGCGTGCTGCCCCACCCATAAAACTCCCTTTACCATAAACCACATATGGCATGACCCGTTAAGTGGGGCCCTCCTCTATACCGTTGTCTCAAAAAGACCAGATTAACCTTTTTGTACCATGTCGGCACTCACCATCCAACGCGTGCATCGTCGGCTGCATTTTGATTTACTCTGTCCGGGTAAAACCCTAACGTTCGGCTTTCTCGAATCCCCAGACGGTTTCTGTTCCATGAATACTTGTGCCTGGTACTTCGTGTAACCAAAATTAAGACCTTTAAACTTATTTGAGTCTATGCGCAAAAATTTGCTCACATTTGATTGTTAAATTGTCTATAGGATGGAGTCCTTCAGGTTCCTTGTTCGGGAAGCTGTTGCACCGGAGATGCTTGCGCAATATTCGACAGGAATTTATCCTAACCTTGCTTTATGTCGACGCTGTCTAAGAAAAACCACAGACGATGTTAAACCTCGTCTGCATGGACCGATTTTGCGCGACCCGTCATCGCTCCTTCTTCGTGCAGTTAAAGTTTCAGTCTATTCCAATAGGCTATAATCGCATTGGTGTGTTTTCTCGTGATGATTGACTGTAAAGTTCCTTACGTTGGTGCATTTGGCGTCCAAGTTGGCCTTTTGCAACACTAGGTTGTAGTCCACTTGTTCGGCAGTATTCCACCACCTTCTCCGAGTTTATAGCATCGACTATTTCTCTTGCCTTCCTTGACAGACCAAGCTGCAACTGTATGACTTTTCTTCGACATAGAAAAAGGCATTCTTGCCCATTCTGTTTATTTACTTATTTCCTTTATATATTTATGCATTTTTTATAATATTTATAAGTCACTTTATTGTGCATATACAACATAGGCGCTCATGCTGACGTTATTTGACTTCGTTTTTGTATGGAGCATTTGCATGGCTTCTCTAGTGGCTTCTCAGCATATTTTCACAGCTGTCCTATTTGGTGGTAGTTGTTATTTGTCCTCGTTGATTTTTTGTTATATTGGTTCCTGACCTGCTTCAAATTTGCAAGTGCCACTTTATTCAAATATGCTTTATTTATTGGAGGTCGGTTTTAGTTATTTTCTTAAGTAACGCGCTCAGTTTCGTCGCTGTGTATATAAATATATATCAGCAAGGAGGGACGACAGAGAATGCGGGTAGATTGATGCAGCACTGTTTCGGTCTTATTCTGCCTTCATTCAGCCAATCATTCAGCCATTCCTGATTGATAAATATATATATATATATATATATATAGGTCTACCACTAGTCGCTGTGCGACTGCCTGCGAGGGTTTAAGTATGAGCCCCAAGGCACAACGGAACGAGCATGTTCCGTAACCTGATCGGTGAGCGCCTTCTATCCTAATTAATATTCCCGATCACAACCGACCGGACAACGGGCCCGTGGCTCAATGGTAGAGCGTTCAACTCCATGACCAAAGATCCCGGGTTCGAATCTCAAGTGATCCACACTTGAGGTTGGGTATGACTGGCTGATGACGGCCAATAAGCCAGAAATGGCCATTCCGGTCACCCTTGTCTTTGTCGGCTCCATCTTCTCAACGTATATCTCTAGTCGCTGTGCAACTGCCTGCGAGGGTTTAAGTATGAGCCCCAAGGCGCAACAGAACGAGCATGTTCTGTAACCTGACCGGTGAGCGCCCATCTCTCATTAATATATATATATATATATATACATAAGCGTAGGTGTAGAGTTCCAACGAAAACCTAATTGTTGTTTATGTTCTATTCCATTTAATTTGTTTTCCGTCCGAAGTGGTACTCCACCCTTAAAACCCCTATTACTGTCATCCCTCTATCGCAGGGCCTTGGGTCGCTAGTTGTGAGGTGGGTTTACACAACCTACAGTTGCCGCGAGCGGTTCCAGCCGCGGTTACTTGCATCTACTCGACCGGCTTCAACTCGGACTTAGAGTCATGGCTGCTCGTGCGTTAACATAACATTCCATCCCCTCAAAATGGGACAGAAGCCTCGGCAAATGCAACACAAAAAATAGATTGGACACCACTTGAGCTTGCCACACAAGCCTATAAAAGCAGCTGACACCACTGTCTCAGTCTGTCAGGTGTGACTGGACGCAATCAGCACCAGCCCCGGCTTTGAGATCGAAATATGGCCGGATGATTTCAGCGCTCTGAGAGCACTTTCGCCGCCTAGACGCTACATCTAAAATAACTATCAAATGCTCATTTCGAAGAAAATGCGTTCTTACCCTATACACTTGAGGGGCTGTTAGACTGTTGACCCTGCTCCGAACGCTTTTGCCAACCAGCCACAAAATGCTCCTTTGCTTGCGATAAATGGAAATTTTTTCTCCTATCTGACCTTTCTGTCGCAGTGTTTGAGTTTGAACCAGAATCCGCACGATAACATATCGTTCATGTGCCTGAAAATCCGGCTAACTTTAAAAGACGAAGGCGATAACGACGAAGATGAAGAAGAATCCGATTATGGGGATGTCCCATGCAGTCCTATTCGATGGATTCAAAAGTTGTACTGTCTAGCAAGAAAGTGCACTTAGCGCCAATCATTTGCAATTTCTGGCTGCTCTTTTGTTTGTAGCCTCGATTTACAGTATGGTGAGGGATCCTTCACCAGTTCATCTATACGAAAGTTCATTAAACTTGTTTCTGGCGATTTTCAGTCATTAGGACCGCCGACGGTGTTCTGACACGGGATTCGGGTAGGTGAGGGAGAGGAGAGTGCGTTGGATGCAGCGAAAGTCTCCTACCATCCGTACGCTCGCCATGTTCTGGGACACACGATGAACATCATGGTTCGCAATGGTCGAACTCTGAATAGCCAACCTTTGCTTCTACTACTTTGAGGAATGTGACAGAGCAGCTTTTCGCAGGCAGAAACTCGAAAGCATAGTTTTCATTCTTTCTATATCTGCGAGACCTCTAGCCTGAACAAAACAACGAAGCAGAGGCTTGGTTAGACCGTGCGTGGGCGTCTTTTCTAATTTAGGACCTCTAATTCACTTTGGCGACAGGACCTTGAAAGAAGTCCTTGGCCTAGGACGCCGCACAGTGAACGCAATGACACCAGACTCCTTGCTCTGCGAGTTCTGTCACTCAAACCGCCCGACATGCGTGTGGTTAGATTTGGTCCTTTCGTTGTTCTAGCTGCGTGCGATGTGCAGCGAGTTTTGGGCATACCATGGCAACTCACATACATGTGGAATCAACCTGAACCCTCTGGCTCCAATGCTTATGGTTACCGTCCTGTCTATTACTCCCGGAATGTATGACTGGGTCAACTCACTGAACGCCCACGCCTCGAAACAGGACGAGCATGTTTGATCTCCGCGCTGCTTTGTATAATTGATGTTCCATTTCATGAAATGCTTACCAAAATTCTGAAATGTGTTTCAGGTTAGAAAAGATTAAGTGAGTTGTGTCAAAAGACTGAATTTTGCGCGGAAAAATAACAGGATGTTTCAGTCATGTAAGGACGCCGGTATTTGAACGGACTTCTTTGCGACCGCTTGCAAAGGTTGTAACATGTATTTATTGGCTATTTACAGTAGGCGGACCAACTCATGAAATCCCAACAGAAATTCCGAAATGCGTTTCCGTTTTGAAAAGAGTGAGTAAGTAGGGTTGTAAAATCAATCATCACGCAGCATGATTCTATAATAATTCAGTTATCTGGGATACCGGCTTCCAGAGGAACTTCTTTCCGAACGCATCCAAAAACCAAACCCTGTAAAAAATGACGGCCCCTTTCTCTCCCGTCGCCCACGAGAGCGTGCACACCGAACACGGCTTAACTAAGGGATGACGAACCAGACGCCTAGAAGTTGGAACGGATTATCTCTCAGCTTCGAAAGTATCATCCAACACCCAGTAGTAGCTCCCTCTGTGGGATATTCGCTGACCTGATTTGACAATGACAGAAGATTAACTGGCTAGATCGCAGTGGGTAGCCAGGAATGGGAAGCTGACGGCGACCTTAACCCTAATCCTAACCCTAACCTCAAACCTTAAAGGTTAACCGTTAGCCCTAACCGCAACCTTAACCCAAATCCTAACCGAAATCGTAAACGTAACCGCAGCCTACAGACATAGGCGTAACTGGGAAACCTAACCGGAATACGGTAACCTATTCGTAAGCTCAAAACCTCAACCGTAACCCGGAAACCTAAGCCTGAAGGCGTAAACCTAATCCGAAAATCGGCAAACATTAACCGGTGCCCCAATCCTAACCTCAAACGTAAAACGGAAGCCAAATAGGTCAGATGTGATTATGGAGCCCCACAAAATAACCCCAGTAAAAAACCCCTAGCTACCTGTAATACAGGGCCTGGGTACCAACGGCGATCTGGCCAAAATGACTACTTGTATAACATGTATTTTTCTCATTGATTTTCAACGTCCTTAGACGTTTATTTCTATGTTATATATAACCTACCCACAAATACTCATCCTTTTGCACATTCGGTAGAAAATTACGTCATCTTCCAGTTTCATACTCAAAGGAAGGGTATGATTCGGTTTTCCAAAACGTTTCCAATTCCTGAGTAATTTTGAACCCGAACTGCCGCTGCACTTGCATTCGGGGTTTTCAAACTACAAGCCGTATATTTTCCGCTTATAGAAAACCATCCATTTCTCTACGATATTACGAGAGTACCATATGAGCTTAATGAAATTTAGCAGTGGATTTAAGCCATTTTCTAAACTTTACAAGCCACATTAGTGTGTGCAGAGACTGGGCATTTTATGAACGGTCACTTCACGGTATTAAAAAATCTCACAGACCATAAACTCTTTTCCTCTAGTGCTTATGGTTATCATATTGTCACTTACTCCCGGAATGTATGACTGGGTCGCCTCACTGAACGCCCACGCCTCAAAACAGGACGCGCATGTTTGATCTCCGCGCTGCTTTGTACAATAGATGTGCTATTTCATGAAATGTAAACCAAAATTCTGAAATGCATCTCCGGTTATAAAAGGTTACGTAGGTAGTGTCGTAGCACTGAATGTCGCTCAACGCACTTACAAGATGTTTCAGTCTTGCAAGGATGCCACATTTCGAAAGGACTTCTTTCCGGCCGCTAGAAAAATTTCCCTATGCAATTATAGATACCCGTGAAGTCCACGAAGGTTATATGAAAGTCTAGGTTCCAGTTGCCGAACTCGTTCTGTGGTGATTGCTGAGGAGTAACTACAATGGCATGGTCAGTACTCTAGAAAGGCGGATCAACAGTATTCGCAGTAATATTTGAAATGTGAGATGTGATTGGTCATCACGTAAAGCTTTTGCCTGAAGTGAGCCAATGGTTGGAACCTCTCGGTGCTGAAATGCCCGTCTATTACATCAAGACTCCCACGTCTACCAGGTCTTCTTCCATCCATGCGCATTCAGGGCATTCAGGGATTTTCTCCTAGTCTTAGAAGGATTTAATTTCAATAGAATTTCTTGTCTGATGCGTAGAGTTAAAAAGTTATCTTTCCCTGGCGAGATTGATTTGACAAATGATTAGCAGAAGAGACGTTTTAAGTTTACTCTGGGTGTCCAATATCCACTGGCTTCTATCCTTGTCGAATTACCGGCTAGATAAGTTTGCACATTTTCTTACCAGTTAAATGACAGCTGATGACGGCTCCTGAGCCAGAAATGATCATTCCTGTCTCCCTTGACTTTGTCATTAATGACATTTCGCAATAGTTCCTAAGTCCCAATAGTCCTTCCATGCATTTAAAACACTGGATTTCCACCTCCGACTGCCCTGATCCCCGATCTATTTATTCAATTCCACTATTATTAAATATTGGATAAAAGGGATTCGACAGGGGAATGCGGACTCCGGTATTGCAGATGGCCTTGTGCTAGGCTCTTGTGGACTGTCTATTCCTATGTCCCAACCTTAACCCTAACCCATACCTGAATCGCCCAAACCCTAAGTCTAACACCCCCTTGCTCCTGAAATTTGGTGTATGGCAGTAATTGGGGGCGGTCCCCATTCTCATGCCCTACCGACGACAGATCATTAACCGTCAGCTGACACGCAGCGACTCCCCTCTCCCCTCCCTTTCCTGCCGAAAAATTTGACCGCAAGAATGTTTTACGATCGTTTTGCAGGGGTCCTATGCACACGAGAGAAATCCCATTCGTCTGTGGTGTTCGGCCAATCAGTGCAGCCATCCAAACTGGCCAATCAACCGCAAGGCTGGTGCGAATGCCCTGACAACTGAACGCCAACCCAGCGTGTCCGTACGCTGTCGCCTCGCATGTCTGATTGCTCGTCTGCTGTGATTACTCTTTCATTGAATCCAACCAGATTCCCACTATCGCTTTTTCTGGGAAGTTGTTTTAGGGTCTGTATTCTATGTGAGATCTGTTCTTAGTTTCGGAGTGTGTAGGGCTGTCCAGAATTCAGGTGAAAGTGTAACGTCTGAACAATGAGCGTACTGTGTGCACTACAATCATCAGGCTAAATCTCCAGTTACAGGGGATGACAGAAGGCACCAGAATGAGGATTTTGTTGTTGGATAAGGAAGCCCGAGTTGTTGTCTCAGACAGCAGCGGCTACTGACGTGGCGGAGGTTGTTTGATCGTGCCTGAGAGATATTAGGACGAATGATGGCAACTGCTTCTGTAAGTTCACGGGGAACAAGCTCAAGTGTTTTCCAGTTGGTTCGGTGCCTAAGTTGAGGCGTGGTGTGTTAAGGTGGCGAACGGACAGCTGCGACCGTGTACGTGTGTCCGAGCCGACGTCGACCGAGTGACTGCAGATCGGCGCGTCTGGAGTCGTCCGCTGCGAAGGCGAATGACTTTGAGGTAGCGGGACCCTGAACAAGGACGCCGTATACGACAATAATGGTTGTCAGCAAAAAGGCAACGGCTGAGCACAACGTATCGTCTAGGACTACCCGACATCAACCTAGATGTCTTTCGAAATTAGCGCACTTTACAATGCTGTACCTACTACGACGATCTGATCCACAAATTGTCATCTGGATTTAGGTTTTCATTCATGTGGCAATCGCTGCAGAAGTTATGATCCTGATCCGGGACTGTTCCATGTTTTAAGGGGATATAACGCTCTGGCACGGAGAATGCACATGAAGAGCCTTTTGTCGACAAGGCAAAACTTACCAAATACTACCCCGCTTAAGTCATGTAGGAGTCCTATTGTCTATCTTGTATTTGTAATCGATCACTCGTGAATTTGTAACTGTAGTATTGATTATAAAGTATACAGGACAACTTATAAAATGCAATAACCTGTAAGCATGGTTCTTGAAATAACTCCCGAGATTTTCAGTCTTGCGGGCTTTTCGAGACTTCTGATCATCTGGCAGTTGAGGAGGTTGGTTGATGCCCTGCACAGAGCGCATTTTCTGCATCACTGACCTGCCAGCACTTTAGTTATGCCTCACTGGAGACAAGGCCTTAAGAGGTGAAGCCGTCGTGGGAGTCAGTTCAGCACAGTCAGTGAAGCGACAGCCGACTCCTCATACTGCAGACTCTGCCACTCACGTCTGCCGACTTGTGTGCGGTTACAGTTTGTCCTTTTATTGTCCTGGCAGGTTATGGTATTTCACATACCGGGGGTGCGGAGGCTCATCTCCGAGCTCTACTGCTCTGCGGCTGTCGCGCGTACTGGCATGTGCGTGCCAGTGGCAGTCTGTTTCTCGACCAATCACTGTCATACAAGCCGGCCAATCATCTTCAAGGTCGACTTAGACATGCCCTTTGCACAAGCAATCCTGACACCTGTCATATTGCCACTCGGACTGTGTTTCTACCTCCGGATGCCAACTCCGTTCACCCTATTCTCTAGTTTTTCTGCATGGAGTAAAATGTTCTATCTACTGTCGTCCTACTTGTCCTGGTTTTATTCGGGACCTGAAGTTCGTAGTGTTTGGTGTCTACCCACTACCTACTCCGCCGCGACGCAACTGAATCCGATGGCCAAAGTCAAACAGTCTCCGTCTTAATAAAAGTGAAGAGGCGGGTTCCAGATGGCAGTCGTGAAGAGGGAGACATGATCGCTGAGACAAGAGCTTTATTGGCCTGCGTTTCGGATTCCTGCTTGAGTCCATCATCAAAGACAACGGCAGATACGTGGGGTTCATGCACAAGGGACTACAGTATTTATAGGACATTGCACAAACTCCCTCGGCAATCGCGTTGATGTGGCTCTAATCGACCGTTTGAGGGTGGCTCACACCCAACTCCCCTTCACCCACCCAGAAAGGCCAGTCTTCTACGTCCGCCACAGTGCCTCCTGTGATCTCCCCGCCCCCGTTTACACATTACACAAACTTGCATATTCTCCTACCCTTCCATGCAACTGCATCTCCGGCGTGCAGGGGATCTTGCGTCACTTTTCTATGATCATACCTAAGCTGTGCATTACGCCTGGTAATTTTTTAGCGTTGAGATTGAAATCCATTCTTGCAGGAGTGGCAGTATTGTAGCAACATAAGGACTTTTGTTTTAATTCACCTGTGACTTTTGTTTAAGTGGGGTAAATGGCCTTTGAGCCTTGGCACCATTTCGATTCAGCCCCCACCTACGCCCTCCCCCAAGCCTCGCCTCGTGACTGGCTTGTCCTTTCTAATTGGACTGGCGTCAATACCCTTCTCCCCTCCCGGATAACCATTTATGCGTATCGTGTGATAGGTCTGTGTCAATGCTACACACTCCTAAATGACCTTTTTGATGTGCCTAGCAATAAATGCGTGGTGGAGAGACTGGTAAGTTCAGTGAGAAATTATTCAGTGTGGCATGTCTAATGTTTCTTCATTCGCCCTGGCCAATTAAGCCGTCTTTGTAAGCGGCACATTCCCGCGAGTGACGTCGAACTGCCTACAGAACTAGCACGAAGTTGGTTTAGTATGTAGCTACGCCGTAAGCGATATAACCTGAAAATGAACTCTCTACTAAAAATTGATCAATTTATTTGGCGGGTATTGTTCCGAGGTGAGCCTGATGTTTGTGGAAATCCCAGCAAAAGGCCCCATTGGTAGCTAATCTCTGCAAGTAACTATTGCATGTAGATATATAAGAGCATTTGGGGAGACCGTATATTTACTGCTTGCCGTATCCATAACAAACAATTGTGGAATGCCTGGCTTGAAGTACAAAGCTGACAGTCGAACAAGCACTCTTGAATGAACATTGAAATTTAGATAAAACATATAGACAAAAAGGCAGCTCAGGCACATCAACAGATATCAGCAGGTCAACACCTAAGTGGTTTGTTTAATAAGATCCTCCACTTCGGGTAGTGAAAGATTCGAATTACTTTTTCTGTTCTATCCGACATTGCATTGGTCCTCTGCCGATAAAGGCCTTCCTGAAAATTGGGTCGATATACTCCATAACATCAAGCAGCCATTGCGTTGGCTGTTGACCAATGAGAGGTTGCGTGATAGCGTCAACCTCTGCTGTGATATTCCGAATGCCCAGTTTAGTAAGATTTACTATGTGCGATGAAGAACTTGATAGCATCCAATACGGTTCATGTATCACTGCTTCAAGTGTGACGGTTGGAAGGATAAAGGGAAAACTTTCTGTCGTATTCGATGGCCTATATTCGCCTCTAGTTGCTTCCTGAAGTATCAGATAATTAGGTGAATTGTCGACGACCACTAAATTTCATACGGCTTGCAATTTAGACTACGATTAGATTTATAAATAATTGATAACTACCGGCAGATAGCATGGATTATGGAGCAAGTAAGTGTTGTTATCTGCAGCCAGTGGCCGTTTAATTTCTAAGGAAATTAAAAAGTTGCAATCTCAGAACTGAATTATCTGTCAAAAAGCACCCAGGAGACGCCGGGGGACCCGCTGATAAACTAATTCCCCGGCAGATGTTTCACAAGTCGGCAGAACATCGGCGAAACACGTGTCTGGGCTTTTAGCTAGTACGTAAACTCTCAAGTATGTTATCTCGTGCTGCCTGATTGTAGTTTATGAATGTTACGCGGTTAATCCGCAGTGATATAACGTGAAAATGAACCCTCCACTAAAAATTGGCCGATTGATTTGGAGAGTATTATTCCTTAAACTTTAAACTTGAAGAAAAGGTAGCTTTTGTTTTCAAAATCTTTTAATTGCGAGACTTTTAAGGTCGTGAAATGTCCAAACATGAGATTATACATGCTGCGTGTTCATGTGTTTCACGTTCATCGAGGAATTTCATGAGCCCTATCTAGCGTTCTCTTAAGTAGAAAACTTATAAGAGAACGTTTTTGGTTTGCTCAAAAGTACATTGATCACAGACTTTCGTTCCGAAAAAGCATTTACTTTTATGATGAGGTCTTATTTTTGGACAGGCTTCCGAATTCAACCCAAGTGGTCATTTGTGGGAAGAACTTTCCACGACAGCACGCCATATCGACATCAACTTTCAAGAACTGTCGACACCTGATGGTTTGGATGGCCCTCAAATTGGGAGAGCGACTGGTGTGGCGGTCAGAGGCAGAGAGGATAAATGGCGAGGTGTTCGTCGACATCGTAAAGAATGCCTTCAGTTACAACGGCATTCATTGACATCTCATGGACACCGTAATGTTGCAGGATAATGCCCCTGTCCACCACTCAAAGGATGTATGATTCCAATTTAGCTTACTACTATAATCAAATAAGTTAGACCACAAGCGGCCTCTCCGTCTGCGGCCTCAGAAGCAATTTTATTCCCACCAGAAGCCTGGACCTAAATCCTATCGAAAATCATTTTTCAATTATCAAAAAATTGGGACAAGACAAGAAAACATCTTTCTGTGAAGCGAAAGTCGGAATTTATGCTTAAAAATTACATAGACCAAACCAACTTAGACAAATTGGTAATCTCCATGCTCTCTCGCCTTACAGCACCTTTAAAAACTAAAGGGCAATCGGCAAAGTACTGATACGTTGTATTTGTTATTAGTTTTCACCATCTTGTCGTTTTATGACATTCCCCTTTTCTGCTGGCAGTTATATTAGGCCTTAAATAGATTACCTGTCATAGAATCGTTTTTTGATTTGGTGGTTTTTCGTAAAATAAATTATTTCTTAGTCAACAAATAATACTTTATAAGTCATAGATGTTACATGAATACTTAATAATTCAAACTGTGCCCTATTTTGAAGCTCGGTCGTATCCTTAACATAGTGTGACTTTCGAGGTTGCGGGATGGGCGTAGCGGGCGCCACAGAGATTTAAGTTCACAGTTTGTGACCTTTCATGAGATAGGTCACGAACTGTATATATGATTTTTCTTACACTGATAGTATGCAGCATGGGGTTTGGAAACCCTATGTACAAGCACAAATGCAGGTTAAAATTATTTGGAATACAAATAAATATTTCAAAGCCGAAAACACCATCTCTTCGAGCAAAAATGCGAAGATGTAATTCTTTACTAAATAAGTATAAGAGTGCATATTTTCGTGTATGCATTCTATAGAACAGATTTTAATGAAAAAGGAAGAGGTTCTTCGGAAAAAAATCGAGTTGTACTCATGAATTTTCGAATTGGTGACACCAACCCGTCGTCAGACGAAATGAAGATGATGCAGGCTTGTGAGAAACGCGAATACCGAACTGACTTAACTGACGGGCGATCATTTCTGAGGTCCCCTGCATATAGGGCAGGGAGAAGAATTCCCGGGTCACGGTTTCTCCATCTGAGGAGGGGTCTCGAGGCTGTGCCTGACGTCTGAGGCAGTTCTTCACGAAACTAACTGGGTATCCGTTAGATCGAAATAGCCGATATAGAAAGCCTAGTTCTTTCTTCAGCAGATCGTCATTGCTGCAATACCGGTAGGCCCGGTGGAAGAGGGTTCGGACGCAGCTTCTTTTGTGAGCCGCAGGGTGATTGCTTCCATAATTGAGGATGATCTCAGAATCAGACCCTTTTCTATGGACGCCGGTTGCGAGGTTACCGTCATCCAGCCTTTGTATTTTCACGTCCAGAAACGACAGACTGTCTCCTACTGCCTCGCTGCGCACAGTCTTAACTCGAGTAAAGGCTTCTATCCCCAAAGAGGAACAGACTAACGTCATCTATCGCATCCCATGTGCCAATTGTCCCTGCGTATATGTTGGTCCTACAGGACGACGCCTGGGAACTCGTATTAATGAACACAAACTAGCTGTCCGTCGCCGTGATCCACTGTCCCTCGTCTTTGCACACGCACTCCAGTGCGACCACCGTTTTAATTGGGATATCACCGAGGTCATCGCCACGGCGAGCGAGAGAATTCCTAGAGGCATGGCACTCTAACGCTGATAGCATCAACCGCCATGTTGACCTAGACGCCTATTATGAGGGCCTAAGATCACGCCTCACTAAGCCGAGCCCCACGCCGCATCAGCAGTCGCTAATCCAGGCGTCCGCAGTTCTGCCAACCTACCATTCTCCCTCCCCTCCAACACGGGGAGCAGTAACGGTTCCCCCCCCTTCCTACCCTCCCGGCTCAGAACCCAGCATGACTCCCTACCCGCATCCCTCCTCACATGCTAATGGTTCGTCCGTCAATGTTTCTCCTGTCTCGTCTATTAGTCCAGTGTGACTGTCTCACTTTCTCTTTTCTCTTCATTTCGTCTGTCAACGGGTTGGTGTCACCAATTCAAAAATTCACGAGTACAACTCGATTTTTTCCGAAGAACCTCTTCCTTTTTCATTATATCGTCTCGGAATGCCTACCACTTCTACTCTACAACACATTTTAATATATAGATGTGTCGACAATCATTAGGAAATGTTCATACTACTTCGTAGTCATTTTTTACAGAATGCGGTTTATGTAGATGGCTGGAAGGAGGCTTGTGCAAAAGCCAGTATTCTGCTTTAACTATAATATCTTGGGATCATAATGGACAATAGTTAGTCAGAATTTCGATTCACATTTCGCGTAGAAAACAGAAGCATCCATCACCTGTACACGCCGCTGTGCCATTACACTGTTTACTAGATTGTCTGTCGTAGCAAAAAGTAACGGAAGGATTTCTGTTATACAGTGATACATGGAGTCGCATTGCAAACAACACCTCCAAACAACACTCATGAGCGGGCGTAAAAGTGGACATATCTCACTCGATGCATCATCAGCCCACCCAGGACACCCAAAGTAATCACAATGCGACCATTCCCGGCAATTTCCACCTGGCGTAACGTAAGCAGGAGAAGGAGGAGCGCAAGGGGAGGTGATTTGGTTGGTTGTTGGTAGGGTGGCTGTGGCTGCCATCACCACCACCATCACGACTGATGTTGTTTTCACCATAATGAAAATGGGACTGGTAAACACGCATAATCTGCATGCCCTCAGAATAGAACCGCCACCTTTTCCTGCTCTACATTTGCATGGCGATTTTTTTATATGTGCGTCCATTGGCCTATTTTACCCGTTATGCGCTGATTTCCCCCTTCTTTATTTATCTGAACTGCAATAATGATCAGATGCCCATTACGCTAGCAATGTTTTGAAGGAAGTAAAATCTGACTCGAAGTTTGCAAATCCTTCATCAACCAGTCTTCATGATATCGACAGTTGCAGTTTTCGGCAGTGGGCACCTGGGATTTTCTATTATGCTATCTGTTTTGCATACCCACTTTTATTCACTATGAATGAAGACTTTTTTGCTTAAAGATTTAGGAATGTCATTTTCAAATTAAAGCACATTCCTCATTCTATCTAACCAATAAAGAGGCTGAATCTTATTTCTAATTTGCCAACTTCAGTTGTGGAGCACACATGTGAAACCAGTGAACTGGTTCATGCAAAGGCTGGCATTCTGACATGACTGAACTGGCTCGGCTGCACGGTCTCGAGAGAAAAATAGCTGCATCTCTTGCGGGCAGTTCCAATGATGTCCACCGTTTGTCCCACAGTTGCAGCAGCAATGGGAGCAGGAACAGTGACTTACGCAGGGCTTTATAGTGCCGGTGGACTTGCGTAGCATCTACCTACACTCTCTCCTCCTTCCTCGCCCAAGCCCTGTGTCAAGACAGAGTCAAGAAGACCGGAGACGAGGCAGACCGCAGGTGAATGGCTCGGACGGATATTCGCCTTGGCGCTCCACTCCGCACCCCGTGGTCCACACACAAATAACCAGGATTTCAACCAACACAACAGAGATTTGGAGGCTGGCACGGCCGATGCCGCACCTAGGCGTGCCGCCAACGCCTGGCTCGGATCCCACACTGTGATGGGAGGGCCATAAAGGCCACATTAAAAAGGAGCCATTGCAGCCTGACTCTCAGACCGCCTCCAGTCAAGGAGGAGGTCTAAGTTACCCCGTCAGTTGGAAACCTTCCACCACCACCACCATTGATGTTGTGGGAGGGGGCTGGGGCTGGTTGACACGCAAGATCCGCACACTTACAGAATTGTGCCGCCACTTATTTCTGCTCTACGTCCACATGTGCTGCACGATCTCGAGAAGACGGCAGCTGCATCTCTTGCAGGCTGTATCTTCAGCCACAGATAAATATGAGGAAATCCCCAACAGACAAAGCCCTGCATTAATTAATCTGGAAATCTAACTTGCGTTCTTTCCAGGTGGAAGTAGACGTTTTCTGCTTGGGCGAAACAGGCAAGTTCCCTGTGCTGCAGTGTATGACTGAGGACGTTGCAGTGAGGTCCTTTCTCTCCCACGGTAATCTTTACATTCAATTCCGTGTACACGCCAGCGTCGTATAGTCCCTTATAGTACACGCGTTTAACCTTTCTGATAAGACTCTGCACAACATCTTCAATTATGATATGTCCATCAGTCGTTGGACACTTCCTCATCGCTGGGCGAGGGGGGCGGTAGTCTGAAAGGAAAGATCATGTGCCAGCGTGTACAAAAAGGGCATTCCCAGCTGAAAAGAGGGACAGAGAAGAAAAGAAAGACAGGATGACAGTTTATGCCTACCAGTGGTTGTCCGAAATTTTGAAAAGCAGCATGAAACTGCCGTCGCACAGACCAACAGGACCAGCACCGTAGAATGCATTTCCTTGTCCGTCTCGTAGTCCTCTCTCTCTTTCTTTCCTTGAATTTATCGGCGACGTTAGCCAATGACGCGTTCTAGATTCCGTGGAGTCTGTCACGGGCCTTCTCATTCGCCGATCTGCAAGACGGCCCATGAGATGAACGATCGCAGTTGACAGTCCTGAAGGCGCACTTCGGCAAATTATCTCCAGTGGTTTAGCATTGGGTACTTTGTAGAACAAAGTCGTCCCCACCACAGATGAGAAGGAGTCATAAGATGTGGAAAAAGGATGAATTGCGGTGTAGAAGTGGCTTTTCCGTACATCCGTCGCATGGAGCAATTTAGAAGTACAAATTAGAAGTACATGCAATTAAGTGAACGATAGTCCACATTTTCGCGTTCGTACGGGGACCCTTCTTCGGAAATCATGATGGTGCAAAGACAGTCTGCGCGTTTGGAACTTAAATGGATGTTCAGCATGAATACAAACTGTCTAAGTGTCGATGGGATTAGTTGCAGCCAGACTGGCCTCGAAAAAAATAGATTCTGTGTAGGGAGATATTTCGACTAGTCTTAAGATTTTAACTGTTTTATTAGAACTGCTACTTCTAATAGAAACGTTCTTACAAGAGCCGGACTGGACGTTTATCTTCAGTTTTCCTTGTCCTTCAAAGGCACCTGGTACCGACCGATTCATTCATCATGGAATGCGTCTGCATATAATGAAATTAATTTCCTACAATTTATGGTACGATGTTAAGTACTGTAGAATTCTTGGTAAATAAGGTCACGCGTATAAGCCAAAACAGATTTCGGTGTATATACTGTGTTCTTGATAGAATAAGGTAATAATTGAGAAAGTGCAAAGCTCAACAACGGATACTTTAGACAATTAATTCCTTTGATACTGTTCGAGCAAATTAAATTCCCAGCCCAAGTACAGAATGCAAAAACTAGTTAATTAGAAGAACGCCGACCACGCTTGAAAGATGGTTACAAAAAGAGGGAAGGGGGATGTCAACAGAGGTCAGATGTGGAAGCACTTGCGTGGAGAATTCCAAGCGTTGGCCAGATGGATACAAAAATCAGCACAAGTATACATGAAAAAACTGCATTATCAGGGGAAGGAGATGTAGTCGTTGGAGCAGGAATTTTATTGGCCGGACGTTTCGGATTCTGTCTCACACTCATCATCAGAGACAGTCGAAGATCTGCCTTTCCGGACTCCATATATTTGCGTAATGGCCATTAGGCAGTTTCTTCTCAGAAATAAATTGTTGCTTAGTTGTTCTGAAGACGGAACACGGTAAAGGCATTGAGCGCTGTGGCCTTGAACTGCAGAATTCGCAACCGCCCCGCCATTCTTACAGGTCGGCCTGCGTTCATTTTTGGACGGCACCCACTCTCTGTGCTACTCCTAACCCCGACTCTAACGACAGATGCCTAAAATTTAGCGCGATGCCACCTGTAATGCGTGGTGTGTCTCCTCTCAGGTCCTGCGAGCCTACATGACACAGACACTAACCGTTAGAACTGAAGCAGGACGGTTTCTGGTGCAAAAGAGATGAGTAGTATGTGGGTTTACAGCCGCACTTGGGGAACGTAATCCTAGAAGCGACTATCACCATCTTGACAGTGACAATCCATTCTTTGGATAGGAGCCATCCATTGTATTTTAAAAAAGATCTCCGCAGAGTTTTTACATTTGTTTCATGCGAATGACAGCACAAACTTAAATGACAGTAATTTTAAAAGTTGGAGGACCTGTAAAAAGCGTTCTTGGTCGCAACACGTGCGCGTTGCCACCTCGCGTCCACTTTCTTGTTTGCAAGCCATATAATTGACGAATGCACCGCTGAATGTTGAAAAAAGCTTTAAGTGTGCGAATAATTGATGATGACTAGATTTTGATGACTCCCATGTCTCTGCATCCTCCGATCATTCGCCCACAATCTGGATTCATGGAAATAATTTTAATATAAACTATAGTCATAGTAAAATCAAACTGTCCGAACTTTCTATAACTTGTGCGAGAAACACTCTGTGTAGACCTACGTGAATTTTGTTATGTATACCTAACCACGCCAAATGGAAATTTATGCTAGATTTTCCTTTTAAAGTTGGTGTCAACATTGATCAGTCAAATGATCCACAAGCTGCTGGTCGAAGGCTCAGAAAGTTGGAAGCCAGTTCTGTGACATAATGAGTTCGGATGGCTAAGGAGGTAAGACCGCCTTTGCCTGTTCAAAAGCACTTTTTCGATCAATGATCAGTTTTAGCAACGACTCATTCCAACTTATCGACAAAGAGGACTTAGAATCGTAGCGAATAAAGGGGGTAACTAACTCAAAGAATGAAAACAATTGGCTAGCATCATTAGGGCTCAGCTCCGCTTTCAAGGCCCTGAGATCATTTTCGAGTGAATAGATGTCAGTTTTATCCACCTTGAAGACCAAATGTGCCACAGAGTCGGCAAGGAGGGTGCTTTTATCTTTCTGGAGTTTAAAAACTGCGCCTTTTAAACGTGCTAACACGACGTTGAGAGTTTTCAGCTAATGGGTCCTGATGAGTTGGCTACTTATTTATCGTCAGGATATGTGCGTTAAGCTGAGATACGTCCTTCACGAGGCTATCAGTCAAGCATTGAAATGAACCGGGAGCAGAATTTACTCCAAATAGCAGTGCCATGTATCGAAACGAACCGCGATGCTTTGTGATGTCTCAGGACCTGAACGACGTTCTCTTGCGCGTACATGATTGACTTTCTCTACATAATAGCGGCCGCTTTTGCTTGTGCTAAAAGACACTGAACCAGCAGATAAGGGTGGTTCGATAAGCCCGTGTAAATCAAGCGAAAGATATTGCAGGGGTCCACAAGATGCACAGAATCGACATTCTGTGCGAGCATTGCGCTGTATTTTCTCCTGACTTCACATTTTCCCGGCCATTGCAGGAGGGGTTCTTGTATCCGTTTGGGTTTGTGCCGATTTATGAGATCAATATATCTTGCTTTACAGGAGCAAATTAACGAGCTACTGGACCACTGAGCTGGTTTGAAAAGGGCAATCTATCCTTGCCTTCTTCGCGTAAAACAGCAATAATAGAGGACATTTTTCGAACTCTTGCTTCTGTAAAGATTCGTGGAACAGCATGCATATGACATCTTCTAAAGAGTTCACTCGCGGCATACACTTATAAATGGGACTTTCATGCACAAAGTTTTCCTTGCAGCAGTCAATTTGGTGGGTTTTTCGATCTTGCGGTAGTGTTATTTGCAAGAAAACAGTTATTCAACTAGTCCGGAATCTTTGAATCTTCTCTGTGAAATTACTCAGATAACAGGTGGTATCCTTAAAGTGAAAAAACAAATGATCTATCCAAACACAGGCTGGTTATTTCCCATTTGACAGAATTTACGAACATCCGCGCTTATAAAGAACGATTTTGCCAAATTAAACTGAATGGCCAAATAAAATCTATAAACAGCCTCTTATTTGTGAAGAAACTTTACTTAGATCGGATCAGTCCTGTAAATTCAACTGATCTCTTGGTTCAAGCAGACAACTATTAATCATCTTTTATTAGCACGAAGTGCGCATACCGGAATGAAAAACTCACTAGGGCCAATATATTTAAGGATGGATTTTTTTAGAATGGCGATTATGAGTTTAAGGTTTTACTTCTGTTTACTCAAAAAAGGCTGTTAAGATTTTGAGTTCGTATTTTTTTAACATAAAAAATGGTACCACTGTTTTATTGGATTCGATTGTGTAGAACAATTTGCATGCAATATGACTCGTGTTCTCCGATAAATTTGTTAGCACCAAAGGTGTGTTTTAAAAACGTTGTCACGTAGAATATCATTCGGCTTATGTATAAATAACCTCCATCAGGCCTTTTTTTCTTGACCAACGCTCCTGCCGTTAGCTCTTCTATATCATGGTACAGAGCCGTTGAAATTTCAAAAACGCGGTTTTTTTCTTCGTCATTTATTGAAGAGTCAGATTATGCATAGCAAAGGGCACTAAGTGGTTAATTCGCTTTATGCGGCGATAGTAGTAACGCAATGCATTTGCTGCAATTAACAACTAACCTGCTAACTAAATTGGCTCAAAAACAATATGATAATGTGGTATGGTAAATGCGTGATTGAAATGAGTGTTGAGTTCAGCTCACTGTTATAATGAAAAACATATATGAAGTCCTTTGACATCACTGCCGGTTTCGAACTGTCTGAGAAAAAGGATCGCTCAGGAGAGAAATTCGAGACAGCGATTGCTTACATAGTTGCATGCGGGCAATGGATAGCTTTGTGTTTCTAGAAACAGACTTAACATAACGCCTACTCACATAATGTAAGTAGTACAGTCATTCGTGATTTGAAGACCGGACATGTGGGTGTCTGCGTGGCCGGTAACTAAGGGGCATGATGTGTGCCGAGTTTGCACTTAAATGAATCCATACAGGGACGTTTCACGCCACAGTCACTCTGCCACTAAAGAAAAATGCGTGTCCAGCAATTCTTGGATCGATTTTCCTCGCCGTCCTCTGGAGCTTCACTTATGTGGTACAGTGCTTGACGGCAGAGGATCTCCCTGCGTGGATGTAGTTCTTTATATTTTGGAAAAGTCGCCTTTGCCAAATCTCATAAAGGCGTCATCTGATCAGGTGCAATACTTGTGCAGCAAACACGGCCGCCTTCCTGCAGTGCAATTTGGGTTTCAATGAAGATGCAAATCACACATCAACGTCTTTATGACTGACAATTTCTGCAGGGATATATCGTTTAAAAAGTAATTTCTCTGGCTGGAGGCTCTGAGAGTGACAAGGTGAAGGGTGGTCCACGTTCTTGTACTGAAGTGCATAAGCTCGTTCTATTAATGAACTACGTATAGAAGCTAGATCGCACGACAAGCAGTGTTTCATATGTTCAAAACTGAGAATGACTATTCGGTGGTGGTCATTTGTGACAGTTTTCATGCCTGCCGCGCTCGCACAAAGCCTAATCATGAAATGTTAAACGGACAACAGTAAAGCTGTGATATGAAGGACCAAGGGTCAGTCGGGACCCGGATGCCCTTGCATCATATAACCGATTTGCATCGACTAAGAAGGTGAGGGCGCGTGCTCAGGGCGCTACGATGATCAAATCGAATCTCAAAGTGTAAGGAGAGGACCAAAATGAAAGAAGATTTTAGTGCAGAACCCACGGTTGTCATCCCGGACACAGTGGTCACTGGCTTTGCCAGTGGCCGGTGTTGACTGCGTCCAAATATGCCTGAGAGAGAGAGAGAGGTGGCAGCCGCTTTCGTAGGCTCGTGGGCCAAGTTCTAGTGTTCTCAAGTCCGTGTGTGTTGCATTTGCCAAGGGGTGATGACTCAGTGGCTTACGTTGCTGGTTGCAGGTGTGTGGCGCTCTCAAGTGACCGCATGGGTAGCTGCAATTGCATGGGCGCGGCCATATGCGAGTTGAAATCGGTCGAGTGGCTTCAGTTCAGTGCTTTGAAACGTATGACTGCAAAGGGTGAATGACCTTGAGGCAGAGAGGCCTTGGAAAATGACACCAGACTGGCCATGATGGCCCTACGAAACAAGGATTTGTCCGAGTCACGTGGACTGGGACTGAGAAGGGAGAGTGTACCCAGCAAACGCGGAGAATGATATTAAACGTTACTTACGCCAGAATGCCATAAAGACCGAGCTTAGAATGTAAAATGTCCCCTTGTTTTCAGTCCTGTAAAGGACTGTTCTATTCAACTGTTTGGCAGCTCCCCGAACCACGGCGTTTATGGCGTCATGATGTGCGGAATCACTTCAGTTCTATCATAGTACTAGCCGGGCCCGGCCACGCATAGCTGTGGCTCTGGTGAATTCAAAATTTCTGTTGGATAATTACCCTGCCTCGTCTGCTTCCCCAACAGTGTCGACGGACGTATTTGTGACTGCCTTGCTTTGAAGCTTAGACTGAATAATATGGTTAAGACGGTACATGTTCCCAACAGAGAAAAATGTAAGGGCCACCGGTTGGCGGTATGTATTGTGTGTGAAACCCAGGATTGTCCTTCTAGCCGCTGCCAAAGACAGGACAGTTTTTTGTTACACTCAGTTGCGCTCAAGAATTCTGAAGTCGTTACGGCGGACATTTATTTTGCCCACTGGTGTCAATCGAGGGATTACAGGCAGTATTTGCCTAAAGTCTTCGTCAAACAGTTCCAGTTCATCTTGAAATGGTCTGCTGCTTCCTCAAAAATCCTGCAGTGTTCGATCAAGGGCCTCGAACGCTTTTTTGTCCGCCATTGTTCATTCATCCTTTACAATAAGTTTGCATTTGTGCAGTAATTTTCCCATACCGGGTGCCTCAGACATATAAGACGTAGGAGTTTCAACAAATCGCACTTTCAACGGCTATTTCGCAGCGGAATGAGTCGTCCTGCCGGGGGTAGCAAGGTCACAGCTATTCGGACCGATACAAGAGATATTGCTGTGTCATTTTTGTGATCGAGTTGCTGCCAGAACCAGCTATTGTCGACAACGGCGTCAGGCAATTCAGCGCATATTGCATCGGCGATTTCGTTGTAGGTGATTTTGTTATAGAGCCAGATCCTGACGTATTCGTGGGATAGTCCCCTCTTTTGCCATTCCCTCTAATACATCCGGCAGCGCTCAGACCCTAACATTTCGTGTTTCACCATTAAGTTCGTCACCGATTTCGGTTTCTACCTGAAAACACGTGCTGTCATGTCATACCTATTCACCGTCGGTGAAGTCCCAGTCTCCCAGTCCGCAACGCGGCCGCACAACCTCCCCCTATGTGTCCTCGATGTCAACGGACATTCCGGGCACGAATCGGACTTGTTGGACATCTCCGAACCAACTGCATCTCTCGAACTGCTCCAGCCATCGTCCCCCCGCCCGCCTCTTCCTCGTCCTCTCTTCCGCCAACTAACTCTGACACTCCTTCTGCACCACCACTTCCATCCTCCTCCTTCTCCTCCACTGCCCCAGCGGTGGCCCTTCAGGCTGCCGTCTCACATATCGCCAACCACGACACAACAACCGCAACCACCCCACCCCTCCCGATTCCAGTGATGAGGATCAGGACTACACCTGCCCTCACTGTGACAGCACCTTCACTTCACACATCGGCCTGGTCGGTCACTTGCGGATGCATCGCACAGAGACTGGCGAACCAGTGCCTGGAGCACCAACCTACACCCACCGCACTCGCCTCCACTGCCCACAATGCCCTCGCACCTTCACTCATCGCATGGGTCTATTTGGCCACATGCGCATCCACGAGAGCGGAATTG